TCTCGATCTTCCAGTCACATACACACCACCCTCTACCACGAAGTATTCCAGGATTCCGCTCTGCACAAGGTTTCCTCCAACCCTCCCATTCCCACTTGTCACAGGATGGATGCTTCCAACCACACCTGGCTAGTCACAGAAGTGCAGGGTTACGATATCTTAACAACGCTGGGAACCATCCTGCACCATTCACCTGCTCAATATGCAGGATCAGTTACAGTCTAACCTCTCTTTTGGCCATATGGCAGATGGATGGAGAGAATTCTGTTCAAGGAAGTCTGGATGACAGAGATTTCCTTGAGGAAAACATTATCTCTTCCTCAAATGCCAAAGCGACACACTAAGCTGACTGTGGGGGGGGGGGGGGGGGGGGTCAGGAGTTGAGATTGACTTCAGAAGGGTATAGAAAGCAAAGCCATTTTTACTGCTGAATGTTTTCCTAACAACCATAAGGGCCCCCTGGCAATTAATGCATAATATTACAAGTATTGTACAAACAACATGTAGCTCATTTGGGCACAAATAACATCATATATTATTTTCTAAATCTTAAATGGCTGCATGATTTTTTCTTAGGACTGTTAACATACACAAACTGGGTTAAGCCACACGTCAAATTAAATACCACGTACAGGATTACTGCTGGCTCACGCCAGTTAGCTGATGCTTTCTTTTTGACGGCCAGTAAAAAGAGACGTGTTAAGTCTTCACTACAAGGAATAAAGAGAACTAGCCAAGGTGGGGGCTTTCCGCAGCTCGGAGACTGAAACGCTCACCGTCCACGTCTGGCAGATGGCCTTAGGCGGCAGCTGTTTCGCCTCTGCGTCTACAGCTGCAAACAGCTGTAATGCGTGCCACATGTGTGGTGGTCCCCAGGCGAGAGTGGGGGGGCGGCTTCCTAGCGACCCTGATCTGCCCGCCACTGGGGTCTGTTCCTGCCTCAGTGGGAGGGGAAGGAGCAGGGAAACAAGGGGGCTCCACTGCCAGACGGAGGCTGAGAAACAGAGCAGTGGAGATGTTCCTCTGCGACCTGGAAGGATGCCATTCGTCTCTGAAGGAAATCTGTCTTCTGTCCATTACTGAGTACATCGGAGCCACCTCCATGCCCATAATCTGGGGGAACTTAACATCTGACAGGCCATCAACTTTGGTTGGAACAATGAGCCAAGAGTGCAGGAAGCAACATCTAAAAGCTTCACAGAACAGTCTGGTTTTTCAGGCTAGCTGTGGAGGGGGGGGGGGTTGTACATCCTCAAACAGGCCTCATCCACCAACCCAGCTCCCCCCAAAGAAGCACTGAGATACCCGAGTAGGCCCCAGTGATAGATTTACACATGCGCTGACATGCAGTGTCCAGTGCCCTGCAGTGGAGGTTTGAACATGACCACCACCAGGGTCAGTAGACTGATCAAGTTTGCCAGGAACCCAGCTATTACTCATTATTGTATCCAGATGTGGACCTTTCACCTATTTCTTTGAGAACCCCTAAACACCTGGCCAAACTCTTTCTATGACAGCAGTTAAGGAGTTTCAGCCTGTGAGGACCTAGACAAGCCAACAGAGCCTGTCTTTGTTCATCTGCTCCAGGGTCCTCTCAGTGTGTGTTTCACTGTCACCAACAGTTCTCCGAGCTGCTTTCAAAGCCATCTGAATGTGCATGGTGAAAATGGCGCCTTGGCTGTCACGGGGCTGCTCTACAGGAGAGACTCACTCATGGTAACAGGAGCACAGAGATGCAAAGGAGCCGGGGGGAGATGAGGGAGCATTATTGTTGTCCAAGGATCTGATAAATGGAGCACAACAGGCTAATACCACAGATTCATGATCATATTGGGGAATCGTAAGCTGGAAATCAGAAACAGAGACAGGTGAACATGAGGTGAACATCAGACAAAGGCTACAAAGGTTTGGCTGAATACCAAGTTTGACTGGTTGTGTGTGGATGGCCAAAGACCTTCTTGCCCAAATCTTTGTGGGAATCTTACTCGTAAACAACAGCTCACAAAAGCAATAAGTAGACACGGCTCAACTCGCTCTGCAGCAAGCCCAACGTGTAAACTTAAACAGTCATGTAGCCTTCACTGCATCTATGATTTAAAGCCACGGGGATGGATCCACAATGAGCCACTGCAAACATGTTGGCTCAAGAACGAAATTCTGAAGCAAGGGGCGGCTGTGCAGGGGAGGGGAGCTGTAATTGATGATATCCGGGGTTTATACAATAAAATAAGCACTCAGCCTTCTCTGAACACCCCCCTGAGCTCTTAATGTCTTTTGTACATTGGATGTGCCTGGAGTTTATTAATTCCATATCAGAAAAAAAGGAGGATTAGGTGCATTATTAGTGTCCAGAAAGCAGGGTCTCAGAAACAGGGTCACCAAAGAGGGAAAACCCAGTTTTCCGGGTCCTAGGCTGCTTCGGGTCTAACAAACTGCCGAGGGACAGAAATCACACTGTAATGCGGGGGCTGACTTATGTCACTGAATGATGTGTTTTTCTGCGTAATCTAGGACAGTGGAACGCCATGTCTCTGACGTTCCACCCAGGCCCAGAGCTCATCAGCAGAATGACCAGGTTTTTCTGGCCGACACCGATGGCATACTGGCCCCCCAGGACATGCTACGTGAAAATTACTGCACGTCAGATGTGAGAAAGTAGGGTCCACGGCTCTCTAGACAGTGTTGATGAACTACTCTCAAAGGTCAGTTTGGACACCGAGTTGCTTCCTAAAGCTTCAAGGAGTCACATGCGAGTTATTCCCGCATCTCAGCCTGGGAGTGTTGAAGGAAAAAAATCACAAATATGAGGAGCCACACACTAGAGCCCTGCGTGGGACAATTTTTTTAATCCCGCTCCTGCCCACTCCCACTGAATTTCTGACCATTACTGCCCACTCCCGCTGAATTTCTGACGATTCCCGCCCAATCCCGCCCGCTGTCTCTGTCACTCCCACCCGCTCCCGCCCACGACAATCTAAAACCCACCCAATCCCGTGAGATTTGCGTTGGGTCCCGCGGGACCCGCGGGATCCCGCTCCCAATGCAGGGCTCTACCACACACCTATAACATGTGAGGGATTAACTTATCCCAACTTCAATCCCCTGACTGCATCGTCTGTGGTCTGGTGTTGACAGGCAGATGAGCACTTTCCCTCACTGGAAAATCTGACCTCTTTCATGTCTGAGCTATGAAGCTTGGAATTAAGGTCTCTTCCCCAATAAATAGCAACAAAACAACCCATTCCCAATAAAATGTTTTTTTTTGTCATAGCGTTTTATTTTGCCTAAAAAAAATTGTAACTGAACTTCTCCTTCCTTTTATTGGACTCTCTACTAGAGATAAAGTTCCACTATAACCTTAAAATCTTTATTGCCGCAGCAAAGCCATGACTGAATGATTTGTCTCAGAAGCTGCAGCAGTCATGCTTTTAGTTCAGGAAAAGGGGTGAAATTGCTACCCTTGCTGCCCCAAAGCTGACGGGAATTGTTACCTGTACTTGTTAAGCCCTTGGTCGCTTACCTCGTTGACCTGCTGTTTGTCCAGGTGGAAGATCTGCCCAGAGCTGGTAGCGGCGATCTCTTCGTAGACACGGTAACCGGGGTGTGAGCGATCCCCACAGTCTCCCGTCAACACGAAGACTACCTGAGGGGTGGGGGAGAGCGAAGAGCATGTGGAGACCAGTGAGATTAACCATTGGAAAATTCTCACATCCGCTCTGATATTCACATACACTATGCATAGAAAGGTTTATTTTCACTATTTTCTACTTTCTAAATACATCAAAATTTAAAAATAACATATAGATTAATACTATTTGGTCAGTTCATAAAAATATTCATTTGTTGGGAGGTGGGTCAACTCTGTGGTTTGGGACTCAGAAGGTTCAAATCCTATCATGGGCAGAGTGATCCCACCATTGGGCCCGTGAACAAGGCCCTTAACCCCAACTGCTACAGGGACTGGTTGACCCTACATTCTCCTCCAAGTCATTTTCATGAGGTGGCCTCCTAGGATGCTTTTCCAGGTGTCCTGAAGGAGGTCCCACATCCTTCACACTCTGGCCAAACTCCTCCAAGCCATTTCTACTGTGTTTAGGTCAGGTAGCCAGGTCATGTGATGTAACACTATCACTCTCATTTTCTGGTGGCTTAGCGTATCCAAACTTTTGACTGGTACTGTATATGCATACACTGCACACGTCACACCTAACCCGAACCCTGTTCTATAATCTGAGGGGAATTAATCAGATCGGCACTGGCTACTGCACCTGGGACTGTCGAAGCTGTACCAGCTGGAGAACATCACGTTTGAGGCGGTAGTCCTTAGCTCGGGCGTCTGTGAAGACATAAATGAAGGAACCGGGCAGGGACACCTCCAGTGCCCGCTTGATGGCACCCACGCTCATCTCGGGGCAATCCCCTCCTCCCTGCAAGAAGGCGGCTCAGGTCACTTATTCAGTAGCACCAACGCGAGACACGTCAACAGCGCTCACCGCATGCAAAGGTCTGTCTGGCGAGGTCACTGCACTGACCCCCCACGTCACATTGATGAGCTTCCAGGGAAGCGGATGGAGAAAGGTGGGGGTCCTGGAGGACTCTGCGAAAAGCATTAGCCCAAAATCGAGTCACAGGAAAGGAGGAAAAAACAGAACCCCCCTCCCCCAGGAGAATTCAAGTAGCTGCAGGCCTTGCAGTCTATAAACACCTAGCAGCGCTTTGAGATTTATGTTGCCGGCCTCGTTGTGAGCTGGAAACGGACACATAAGAAGATTTGAGGGCCTCCAAAGTAGAGTAGACACTATGGAAATAAGAAAAATTTGCCCTCCCCCTCCTCCCCTCACAGAGAGTCAGGTGACACCCCCAACCCTGACACACACCAGGCTTCCAAATTCCTCAGGCAGGAAATCTACACACACAAGAATCATCTGCTGAATGGAACTTCTGGACCTTGATTTGGAATGTCAAGAAAGAACTGAACCACAGTGAAGATGATGGGAAATTGTGGATTCAGGCCCCCCCCCCACCGCCATGAACATCAACATACCTGCACAAAGAGCTCACGAAGGTCATGCTGAAACTGCCTTGGGTCAGTGGTGATGGACACCGGCCCGATATCTGAAACAGAGAGTGCCATTAATGTTATGTAACCAGCAGACCCGGCTAGGCTCGGCACACCGACAATACACGCTTCTAGCTGGAGGACACCGGGACCTCGGGATCTGGATCATCTGGAGAAACACAAACGCATCACACACTTCACTGGGTCACATACACAAAGAGCGCAGCTGAGCGTAATGACACGGATCGCACCTGAAGCAGGTATCGTTTAGCGTAGCCTAGCATGTGCTCAACCTCACATGCAACATTCTGCCTTTAAAAGCAAAGTGTGCCAACAGCGCTAAAAGTACAGTTAGCAATCCTTTCCAGTTTCATTTTGCTCTGTCATTTTGAAAGAGTAAGTGCACCAAGGTTCTGCTAACAGGTGAATCACAGGGGGCATTCCTGCATTTACAGTCTCACTGTTACGCCTCAGTAGCCCTATTTCCCCTGTGGAAGACCCTCTGTATAGATACATGCATGTAATGGGATGTTGTAGGTCTTTCTGGGTAAGTTCTTCCTGAGAAAACTGTACACCCCCAATGTAAGAAGGTACAATTCAGTGGTATAATTGTAATACGTGTTATATAACGTTGTTTTTTCAGTGGTCATGATTATCTTAGAAGACCATAGATTTCTCCTTTCTACAAACCCAAGTTTTCAGTCAGTTTTAGTCACGTGAGTCAGACCTACCTGGCTCAGTCACCCAGTCATTTTGGGCCCATCGATTCCATATGTCAGTGCTTTGAGCAAGTTAATTTCTGGATTCAGCACATCTTCCTCCAGCTCAACAAAGAGAAAACCGAGGTGATTGTTTTCGGGAAGAGAGAAGAGCGACTAAAGGTTAGTGTCTAACTTGAGTCTATGGCCAAAAAGACTAAGGATCTTGTCAGAAATCTAGGCTTCTTGCTTGATGAAGATCTGAATTTCAATAATCATATCAAGGCCATAACTAAATCCTCCACTGCTACACTGGTCACTTTTATGTCTGGTTACATTAATTTTGAACATACTCCTCTGCTTGCATTTTTAGCTTTACCACTTTTTAACTTTAGCAACCTGCACAGTCTACAAAAGAGCGGTTCAGGATGCATTTCACTATGTGTTGTACTTTGTATAACTATGTACGTGACTATTAAAGAATCTTGAATCCATGTATCACCTTAGGAACACCTCTAATATCAGAGGCCTAACCAGGCATAACCTTGAAAAACCTATTCATGCCTTCATCTCCAGTCACTTGGGTTATTGTAAAACTGTCCTATACGGACTTCCCAAAAAATCCATAAGACTCCAGCTCATCCGAAATACCACCATTAGATTAACTGGGACAAAGGAGAGCAAACACATCACTCCACACAATAATCCAATGCTTCACTCCTTGTCTTTAGGATCCACTTCAAGGTGCTGCTTGTTTATCAGTCACTGAATGGTCTTGGCCCAGTTTACGTCACAGACCTTCTGATTGATTATGAACCTAACAGGCCACTAAGATCATTAGCAGGTGGTCAGTTAATAGTGCCAGGAGTGACAAGTCATCACGAGCAAACGGCATTCAGCTGCTCTGCCACTCAGAACCGCAACCGACTCCCTGAGGAGAATCAAATGCTGCCACCTTCAAAACCAGGCTCAAAACGTCTTTATTCCACAGTGCTTTTGATTAGCGCCGTTAATCAATGTTGTCGCTTTTACTTTTTCGCTTATTTTAGTGAGCAAACACCTGGCAGAGGCGGCCGCTCCATGGTGGCTGGGCCATGTGACTGAGCACCGTGTGACTGAGCACCGTGTGACTGAGCACCGTGTGACTGAGCAATCACGGCCGGGAAGGATCTGGATCATTAGTGCCGCTGCCGGTCACCGCCAGGTCCCCCAGCCTCTGACACATGCTCCACCCAACCAACACCCCCCCCCCTTAAGATGATGAGTGATTAACTGTAGTCTTATCGTCCCCCAGTGAGGAGAATTGTAGAGGGTTAACTCTGAGTTGGGGGAAGTGTTGGGGGGGCATCTGGGTGAAGATTGTCTCATTGGCACTGAAAGTGTTGTGTATTGAACAAGCTGTCAGCAGGAGATGAATCAGAGGCAATGGCGTAACTTTGGCTGGAACATTGGGGGGGTCAAGGGCGGGGGCCCCCCCCCTTACAGGGGAAACAAGATTACTGGGGGGGTTATATTGGCTGGATCTGATTATTGGGGGGGTCGTGACCCCCCTAACCCCCCTGGAAATTACGCCCATGATCAGAGGCACCCCCGGCCCAAAATCCACTTGAACGCAGGGCATGGATACAGTGGTTTTTGGCACCATCCCACTACTCCTTCTAATCTTCCCACAGTCCAAACTGCCTTGATAATTCCTCAGCTCATCACCCACACAGCTGATGGATGGTGAAAATTCCGCTGCAAAATGACTACCCTGCATCCCATGGGGCATTTGTGCTGGCTGGGGTGAGTTTTCCCCCAAAATAGAAAGGTTATTCATTCTGGGTATAAGGAGAGTGTGGCCAAAGAAAGCCAATAATTTGTGTCTGTTTGGTCTCTCTTCCATTATCTCTTCCCCTCTGCTGGTCACATGTTCCAGTGGTTTCCCATGTGTCCCAGAATTCCTTGGGAGACGTCTGAGGGCTGATACATGCGGCACCACCCCCTTTCAGACCGAAGCCTCGCCATCGCTGTGGACTTAATGGCTTTTGGGGGTGGGGGTGGAGGTAATTATACCATGGCAGACACCATGTGCTTCCACTCATTCTTTGGACACTCTCCCCCTTTAAAGACGTTCTTCCCCAGTAAAGCCGGACGTCCCCCGCTGCGCTAATAAAGCTTTCTGACCTACCTAACTCCCCCGCGAAGCTTTCGCTGTCTGTCCGCTCCCTGCGCTTCCTTTATTTAAAATTCAAATATTCGAAAAGGAAACTTACCATCTTAAAATATATTATTTATGTATACACAATAAATCACCTGGAAATGGCTTGTACGGTGATTGAATACTGCGGAAAATATGTGAACGACTGATTACAATAGAGTTTAAATGTTTTTCTCTGGAAGAAAATGCTGTTCCACTTGAGTAAACCTGGTCTGTCATATCACCTAAACCTATTTTAAGCATTCAAAATAAAGATATTACATTAATTCGCGTCATCTATCTCTGGGGCAATTCAATGTCCATCAAGGACTATAAATAAAGATGGTGATTTATTTCGCCAAGAATGGATAACGCTTTTGAATTTCTTGATTAATACCTTAAATAAATTTGTTCCTAACGCGCGATTCGGATTATTTTACAGACTAGTTTACTTGGGTAACATATAAGAGTAAAACTGGTGGTCAGCCACCATAGCGATGTCTGATGGGAATTCTCGTTTTTGTTTAAATTACAAGTTATAAAGATCGATTGAATTGTTAATTGGTTTATTATTACAAACTGCACAATTAATCATTTTTTACCGGTTGAAGAACAATCAATCAATGAACGGGCAATTTTAGATACAATAACACCATATGATATGTAGTGGGGTAATGAAAAATTCTGGGTCCATCCACGGTGGTGGTTTCACTTTTACCTGGATCGTGAAAGGGGACGAGCACGAAATTCCTGATGGGTCTTGCTCTCCGGCTGAGGGTTTTCTCCAGGATCCGGGAGGCTCCGTCTATCACCTGCTTGAGGTCGTCGTACATTGAGCCGGTAACGTCGAAGACGAAGGCCAAGGTGGAGGCACTTTCAGAGGGGAGCGGATGCTCCTCTGCCCGGGGAGCGCCGGTCACTTGGTTGTTCCATATCCACAGCGCAAAGATGCAACACTTTATCCAAGCGCTACTCATTTTATCTTTTCATCACACCATTAGCATGTATAAATTTAATTGTTTTTTTTTTGTAAAACACAAAAAACTTTACTATCCTTTGGGTAAAGATTCAAAATATTTTAAATATCTCTAACGCGATTCGAAGCGATAGGATCCAACGTTTCTTTTAAAACAAGCGTGTATGGTTTCAATGACTCTGTCCATTAACATAGGAAAAATGATACCAGCTAATCAAAATCCTTTAAAAAACAAGGAATAATTCCCTTTAAGTTCTCATTTGCGGGACAACAATTTTGCAACGCAGAGACTGGATCTTGTACTGTATGTCCGCAGCCCTTAAGAAAAAGTTAAGTGAAATTTCAAAACGGGGGCGGGGATGAATGTTCAAAGGGGTCCTGTAGAGTTTCGACTGGTTCTTTGTGTGTGTCTCTGTGTGTATGTGTGTGTAACTTGACCCGGCTGTCTTCAAGTTAACTCACCATCTTTCTCATCTTATCACAGTACGACCTTTTAAACCCGTTACTTACGCACGCCTAATGCAAACTCCTCCATAAAGTTCAGAAAATGTACAGAGATGAGGGACGCCGCTCATTAAGACTCGGGTCCTCACCAAGTTAGAGTGTTTATTAATAGGAGGCGTCCAAACTCAGCTGGCATATTGCTAATTATATCCAGATATTATATGGAATAGGATACTAGTCGGGGCAAGAATGGGATAAAGACTTGACAGCGTTCAGAGTCGTAAAAGTTGGTTTCGGAAAGCAAGCGCCCTAGAAGGACATCCCATCTGTTTTATTTAAACAAAATGAACTATGGCCCCCCACCGATGCATAACTAACAGCGCATGCAAATGCAATCTCTTTTGTAACAGTACTTGCTTTGTATTCGTTTTACATTCTGCCTTTGTTAATGTTATTTGCACAAGTGACACATCCTAAAAAAGCAACACTGCCATGCAACTCCAGCAGGAACGGGACATATCGGACACTCGACAAGAAAGCTGATAGCGCTAACAGGAAAAAGAAAAGGGGCTGCTCCCCAATGCAAACATGCCGGCGACCCCACACCCAGCCCCCGCCCCAAATGATGCACTTTAAGCACCGACAAAGTTTGCAGTCTTTACAAGAGGCACAACGTTGGAAAATTGCGCATTTGGCGTGATTAGGACGTCGGTACTAATTTGGAGCTCATATGTAAAATGAGGAATCGGCGCAGTCCAGGGGAATTTCTAGCTATTGAAAAGATCAGGGGCTAAGTAAAGTTTACCTGGGGCTTTTTTTTTTTTGAAGGAAGTTTGGCATTGGGGCTAAAGTACTCGGGGCTAAAGCGGACCCAACGCGCCCATAATGGAGCCGTCCCGGATAAGGGCGCATAAATGTGTGCCGCATTTCTAAACGTTGTGTCGCAGTCAAACTGCAGTTTCCGCATGGGTGCATTATAAACGATGCAGTGTTTGCTTCACGAGCACACAGTCTCATATGCAATCCTGACAGCTGTCTCTCACACCCACTTTATTTCTGTTACAAGAAGCGCTGCCAAATGCGGCCGCTCCTCTGCTTATTCTGGCACAAAACGCAAAGCGCTTTGCGTAGGGGGCGACACTGGGGATCTTATTCATGAATCCCTGTTGCGCCTAGGAGCTTTCCGACCATCATAATATGTAGTTTAATTTCTTATCCTTTGCAGTGGTCGTTTAGTGGCGGATTTCGACGTTATTTAATCTCTTCTGCAATTACACAGTGATTTTTATGGGCGTACCTGATCAAACCGCGTAATGGTATAGTGATGAGACAGTCTTGCAAACCAAAGCCTTTTTGGCCGTTGTTGAACGCCAATCACACACACACACACACACACACACACACACACACACATATATATATAGTATGACACGTAATTTAAAAATGCCTGCTTGCGCAGTAATGTCCGGACAGGTGCTGGAAGGACAATGCAAGTTGTTCAGATGCGTTTGCTGTGTTTTTTCTACTTGTATTAAATACTGGGCTTGGTAACAGCAGCGGTTTGATCTGGATTTTCCCACAGTACGTCTTCAGGGCCACCTGCATCGTAGGGAAGAGGCTGCTTACGGAACTGAGCACACTGGGGTTAACTCAGAAGTGTGTGATAATGGTATATAGCATTTGGACATGCTCGGCACAGACAGCGACACACACGCCTGTTTTCACCCTCAGATGTTTACACTCGGTATAAATAAATCGCATATGGACATTCATCTCCCGGACGGCGGTGTGAGTGCCTGTGATTTAAACCGCATGGCAAACACACGGTGTTCTGCCCCAGAATCAGACCCAGCCGCCATACACCGAATGAGAAAACAGCTGAAGTCATAACCAGGATGAAACCGCAACCGCGCACGACCGAACCCTATTGTAGTGACACATCGTTTGGGTTTTTGATTCTGTTGGTTTGCGAGCCGCAGTAAAATTGGCTGACAGCACAGCAACGAGGGTTTTTCTAGATGCAGTTTAACATGCTACAATACGCCCAGTTTTTAAAATTTATTATTTATTTTTATTTTTAATTTTTTGGGCGGGGGGGGGGGGGGGGGGGGGGGGGTTACAGGCTGCTGGAACTACTCAGGGGTGTATTCTATGACCAAACCATGTGAGAAGCTGGAAATTCAACACAGCAGACCTGGAAGGAGGGTATGGGTCCTCAATACTATAACACTAGTGATGGACAAACTGATGCTTCATGAACCGTTTGCTGTGTTTTCTGACCCCACTACATGGCGCTCTCTGTTCAAAAAGGGGCACAAAGCATGTCCCAAAGCAAAGCAAGAGCGCCATCTAGTGGGGTCAAAAAATAAAGCAATTGGTTCAGGAAGTGTGATTTTGTCCACTGCTACATAGCACATACTCTCAAGTTACTCATGCTGGCTTCCTCCTATATGCAAATACAGCTGGGTAACCTGGATTTCAGCTGTTTGCTCCTGTCTGCTGCTACCTGCAGCAGACAATGTGCTGGGACCAGGGCTGGATTACTGCATAGGGTTAGGATCAGGCAAACATCAGCGCCTCGACCTGCCCTGAGAAAGACGCAATGGTCAGATAAATGAGCGACACCAGAGTGTCCATGCTAACATCAGCCTGGAGGCCCCAGATCAGGTAATCCACCTCTGGATGGCACGTTAAGGGGGGTCTTATGGAAAGAGAAGCTTCACACGTGGGTGGTTAGTATCTTCAAGGCTAAGAAGGTGTCAAAAGCACCACCACCTGGCACAGGCTCTCAACGCAGACACTGGGTGCCTGATTCTGAAAAGGAACTGGGTTTGTCGCCATTGACTCAGCGACTCATACTAAAGCCAGAAAATGAAGCAGCCAAGGTGAAATTCGCTTATTCAGAATAAGCATGAAAACAGCCCTTTATTTATAGGATGCAGGAAACCCAACTACAGCGTAACACAGCAAAGATATAGCGTGACAACCTTATCCATGCGGAAAATGATGACACCTTCAAAGATAGTATGGTGAGGAAGAAATCTGTACTCATTCTGAGCTAAACTGAGAGCCCTCACAAATACGTGATTTGATTAAAATGTCAGACAATACCCTTAATTCCATATCTTTTTTGAACAATGTAATGCTAAACTGATTGTTTGTGAGGAGAAGTTTTTGATCCTCTATGATAGGGATTCAACAAGTGCGGAACGTGGTCTGAATACGGATCGAACCGCAAGTTAATCCGGACTCATCTGATAATGCACCTTATGAATCAATATGGTTAATCTAAAAATGGTTAATGTGGTTTGAAGTACAAAAACCATCAGCGAGTGTTAAATATTTCCCACTTTTGTTATATATTAATGTCTACATCGAAGGCTATTGTTAATTCATTAAAGTTCATGAAATGCCGTTTTGTTACTGAAAATTGTTACAGACCTCTGAACAAAAATCTGATGAGGACCTTTGATCAAAAGGTTTGAGATCCACTGTTCTAGGATATACCTTTATTAAGAGAAATTTCAGTCTGAAATGCTGATCACCAGAGGTGGAAAGTTCAGGTACAGAAAGTACCAGCGCTTTCGATAAAAAACCCACGTCTAAAGTAAGTGGTGCATTGTTAACTGGTATATATGTGGCGCGTTATACTGTAGAAACGTGCGGGTGCATGACGCTCGATCGTTATTGACACAGATATGCGCTTTACGTGTAGGCTACTAATTTATTTTATTTCAGTTATATAAGTTTTATTATATATGGAGTACAACTGGCCCTTTCACGTAATCGTACTGTTCAATAAAACACCAAAAGAAAAATAATATAGTACAAAAAACCGTATCATTAAAAAACCTTCCGAGTTCATTATCAGAATTAAGCACGTACTGTAACTGAAAGGAAATTTAGATTACCGATTTCATATATTTAGATAAATCAGGTGGAAGATTACAACACAGCCCTCAGAAGGTCGCATTAGAGCAGTGTTTCCCAACCCAGTCTTTGGGGAACCGGGGACAGTCCACGTTTTTGCTCCCTCCCAGCTTCTAGCCAATCAGGAAGACCGAATACCTGGCACAGGTGCGCTGTGAGCTGATAAGCAAAAACGTAGACTGTCCAGGGTTCCCCGAGGACTGGGTTGGGAAACACTGCATTGCGGGATGTTAGAAGGCGTGATGCTGAACTGCATGCGCCGATGCCTACAAAAGAGGTGTACATCAGCTGGCAGAAGAGCTGAATTGCGGTGTTTTAACAAATATCACACTTTTATTTATATTTTGCAAACTAAAGACCCACATTTTAAATAAAACATACAAGCATAATTAAATCCCCGTTCCCAGCCGCTGTTGTCGTTCAGCAGCGAGCCTCCACGCCTTATGATATCATTATACTGCTTTTGGCACTAAGCGGGGATCCAATGTGCCAGGAAGCGAGGACGGACTGTCTGCTACTTCACCTCACGCCTGCTGCCCCAGCTTCCGGGCAAACGGGACATTGTAATAGCAATCCAAAGTAGATCATGCGCCGCTACATTTTAAAGGTGAGGTGACGTGCTATCCCGATTGGTTTATTGCATGTTACACCAAAAACATACCAAGTAAAGAGAGTTAGGACAACCCTCTCACGCCTTGCGCTGGTGCGTAGTACCGTTTTTATGCCGTTAAAATAGCGAAATGGATTTGGACACGCCCATAACTGTTAGTTCCGCTTTGCGCTTGATGGTCTAAATAGAGCCCTGTGATTCTTTATGCGCAGCTGATTGGTTAGAACATTCTTGAAGTCTTGGTTTGGGATTTGAACATTCTGGACTTGAACTTTCCACCTCTGCCGATCACTGAGATAATGATCAGGTCTGAGACTGAGGAAGCCTTTACAGAAAATTTTTAAAAAGCACAGTCTTTGGTTGTCACCTTCAAACAGCACTTCACAGCAAAGGCTTGTGAGTGCGAGTCAGTTCTAAACAAGCTCAGAATCCTGTAAGACTTGAAACGGTCATAAAAGCACTTCTGAAGCTTTCTAAAGAGCTCCATCGATCCTCGGACAGGCAGCTAGTGTACAAACGGAGAAAATGCAATACCACTTTCGCTCTTCTTGGGTGTGGTATACCAACAAATATCGCTCGCACAGCAGGATGGATAACACTCCTGAAGGTCAGATAGAACCCCAGGCAGAGAGCTAGACACTGGCCAGCCACTCTAGCACTGGCTAGTGTCAGTTTCACGAATCCGCCTTCCGTGAGAGTGGTCTGCTGGACATCTCTCCAAAAAACCCACACACATTTCACATTTTGCTTAATACTACATGGATGATCTATAAGTATACTGGCCAAAGGTTCTGTGGGCAGATAGAATATGAACATTTTGGCCTGAATGAGAAACATGTTTGGAAAAAACAATAACAGTACATTCCACAAACAAGACCTCATCCCAATCATGAAGAACAAAGCGTGACGGTCAGTGCACCGCTGTGTGCTGCTGATCTGTAGCCTGAGGACCTGGAAAGCTTGTAATCATTGAGGGAACAGTGGTCTCTAGACCATACCACCAGGAGGAGGTCAGGGAATAAGGGCTGAAGCTCAAACCGAAACCAGGTGATGTGACAAACGACAACACACACAAGCAAATCGATAGCGTAAGGGCCGAGGCGCCACATCCAGATGTGAGCACCCCACCCCCCCACCCGAAATGTCATGGTATGATCCAAAGGTAGCAACACAAGCTACCTTGCATTCTGCCAGATGGAAAGGTCCAAAAACTCCCAAAACCTCCACGCTGACACATGTGACTGACAAGCAGGTATAGGAAACATGTGGCTGAGGTCATCGCTGTGAAAACTAAATCCACCAATGATGGGTCACATACCTTTTTTTTTTAGACAAATGTATTCACCTAACACAGAGAAGACGACAGCTTCTTTGTGTGTTTAATCAGACTCTCTTTATCCAGAACTGGGACTTGCATGAAGATAAAGATTACATCTCGGGTGAAAATAATGCAGGAACACAGAGCTTAAAATGCTTCATAGAGGTTCTGATGCTATTGTCAGTGGCAGTTCAGAATATTTAAAATACATTCATTAATGGTTTTGGTGCCCTGGAAGTAAGAGGATTGTGGATGTGCAGGCTTTATGGAGCTTTTCCTCAAAGCATAACACAAGTCTAATATCATTAAGGAAATTTCAGGCCATAAAGGCTTAAAATTTTAATTTTGCTGATCAGAGTAATGAGAGTAATTATCAACCTGGGAATCTGATTAGGGATCTAGAAACGCTCCTTTTACAGCTTGTCTTCACAGAGAGGAATGCCTTTTCACTGCCTTTCCCTATCTCTTGATTTAGGTCTTGTCCTGCCCCCCTCTGGGTTTCCAGGTAAGATTAACAGTTATAAAGATAGTTAGACTTCAGAAAGACTGAGGTAAGCAAGTCTACAGGAAGCACCATATTTCTGTGGTGCGCTTTGTGATCAGACAGGGGAAGGGAAACAAATTCATGGGCAAAACACTCTTCACCACGGGAACGACGCGAACGGACAGGCCAGTTGCCCTTGTGTCTGCCACATCCAGAATGAGAAAGGAGGAAGTCACAAGCAAGAGGCAGAATTCACATTCACGCCACAGACTGCGGGTCGCGGGAAAAAAACAACAAATACAGGGGACAGAAACACTGACAGCCAGGTGGAATCGGTGCTCACGTAATGCACACAGAGGACATGCAGCGCAGTTGCTTTGAAGCGGGCGGCTTTTATTTGAGGCCTATTGAAGCAGAATTTTCCGGAAGGTGCTCTATTGGGTTCCAGTGGTGGGAGCTGGTCATACGAGGACCGAACGAGTAACACACACAGAATACCAAATGAGGACACACATGACAAAGGACATGATGCACACACAAGCTCCGCCCCTTTCCAGTTCTCTAAGATGGGACCAGTTTTGTTTTTCTGTTTGCAGCCACCTGGGAAGGAGATCACTTTAACAAACATTTGACACACTGCATTTGATTAAAATAAAAAAATGGAATAAGTTAAAATGGACATTTCCACGTGGATGCGACACAAGGCAGCAGCCAGCGGAGATTCGGGGGCGAGTCGTGTCGGATGGAGCTCCCTGCGCTGCCTTCGCTGCTCCTTGATCAGGTGCTCATGCATAACTCTGCAGTTTACCCCCCAAGCATTCAAAACCAGTGCCCCCCCCCCCCACTCTAGCCTCGCACCTCAATTTCACAGCTGCAAACCAAGTTCCTCGTGTCAGTTTTGTCCTCTTCGGAGTAACGCTCCTGTCCCCCTCTCCCCTCGCCATCATTAGGGGGTGTAGTCAGTTACAAGTTTTTTTTTAAGGTGACGATGGAGGGGGACAAAGTGACGAAAGGAGCCCTGCCCCCGACTCTCATCAGGGTGCGTGTCTCCCCCCCCCCGCCCCAACCCCGATCTCTCCCAGCTCCTTGCAGGGGCAGAGTGATGAGTAGCTTCTTGTGAGTAGGTGGGTGGCGGTTCTAGGTGAGACACTTCTGCATACCCTGGCGGCGGGAAGAGAGACGACGGCACAAAATTAGGACTCTATAAAGGCACAGCACAGCTTCTCACCCCTGACTTGCCGGAACCTGGGGCCCCCAGGGCCCTGCAAGCAACAGGGGGCCTCAGGACCAGCAGCGGCACCTGGTAAGTCGCCAGGAAGACCCAGGGGCCCGACAATGTCACCAGGCCTCATTCTGACCGCTAGCCATCCACAGGAAGTGCTGAAACTGGCAGCAAGGGAACAGGAGAAGCTCTGAGAGGTTTTAAGGAATCATTTTCCTCATTTACAAACTCCTGCAGACCATCAAGTGTTAGTGTCAGAAACTTATGGGAACAAAAAAATGCATTTAACCAGGTAAAACTGGTTTAAAGTGGATATTTTGAACAAAGTAACTGTTTTTGTTCTTCCAGGTCATGAAAACAGGTGTGGATGGACTGAGACACACAACGCAGGTGTGAGTAATTACGGGTGTGACCTTATGGGCAGCGAGCAAGTATACATTAGCAGGTATACATTAGCAGGTATACATTAGCAGGTATACATTAGCAGGTATACATTAGCCGCACGCAGGCTGCCGAATCACAGGCAGGAATGGCCATGGACAGTGGCACTCGGGGGGGCTGCTGCTTGGATCAGAAGTCTGAACATTGGAGGGGGAGGGGGGTCAGCATGGGGTCAGCTGACAGGCCACAGTGTATGTAAACACATCTGCTGCTTAATTTCCCCCTCAGCCAGCTTAACGCCGCAGAACAACTGGGGGGGCTAAAACTGCAGGGACCACAGAAGATTGATCTCTGTTTCTCGGTACTGAAAGTCATTGAAGACCAGGGCAGGACTGAGCAATCCTGAGACCTTTACAGATCTCTACCCTACAGCATTTGTATGTTTACTTGGCCGAGTCTAAATCATAAAGCACACGATGCAGATATTTAAAAGACTGATACATCAATAGATTCCGTCTGTCCTGCTCTCTGTGAACCAATCTGGCTGCATTTTCAGGAAACAAAAGCAAATGTTTTCTCCATTATCCAAAGGAAAAATTAATGACAGGAAAGAGGGAGGGGGGTACAAAATCTGTTAACATAATCAAATCTGACAGAATCCATGTTTTGGGACTTGTTAAACTCTAATTAGCAGAACTAGTTAAATTGGCTTTGAGGGATGTTTTAATTGTTTAAATTACTGTCCATATCTATTACTCAAGCTCAGAGGATAAATGTTTGATGTACGGTATTTTTAACAGTTTCCTTGACTACAGTTGAAGCCTCCCAAAGACATTTACTGCTCCTGTCCCGCCCACAGTGACACTCCTGTCACCCAGCAAGCAGCACACCTCACCTGTCACACGCTCCAGGCCCCTATACCAGGCCGTCGTACAGCGACAGCGCCTGAACGATGGAGGGGTCTGCCTTGGAGCCCTCCTGAAATTCCTGCAGCGTCAGCTTCCCGTCGGCGTTCTGGAAAAAGATCAATAAAAACTGAAAAAGCAGCGATCTGCACGGGACATTTAGCACTCTGGAGATCGCACTTTCCCTTCTCACCAGCAGGTGGCAGCATTTCACAACACCATTGCCACGTTCCCTTACGTTCCAATGGCAGCAGTCCAGGTTGTCAGTTTCATTTAAATCAATGCACTTGACATTAAAGTGGAATGCCAGTGACCCACTACCCCTTATTACATTTGGTCTCTGAACAGGACTTCTGCTGACAAAAACCACTCCGCCTCACATATAATTCCCAGACACGCTTTCTCCACCCAAAGTGTCACTCAGCCAGGGAACACCCATCCTCTAGAGAGTAGAGGGCAGCTGAGGTGAAGCATCGGGTTTAATTGGCAGCTTTCAGCGGCTTCTTCCAGCGAGGGGGTGTGCCCAGCCTCGTGGTCCGTAACTACACTGCCGTAAAACACTTCAGAGGCAGCTCAGCTACTTGGCTGTGCTGGTGATTTATAAGTCAGATATAATTTAACAGATTTAACAGGCATCGCTGGAGATTGGGGGGGTGGGTAGGCAGCTGGAGCAGCTGTGAGGAAGCAGGCTACAGCAAAGCCAGCATGAAGCTGGGTGTGGTAAACGACGGTAAAGGGGCGGGACAAGGTGAAAGGGGCCGGGTTATATGAAAGGGGCGGGACAAGGTGAAAGGGGCCGGGTTATATGAAAGGGGCGGGACAAGGTGAAAGGGGCCGGGTTATATGAAAGGGGCAGGGCTAGGTGAAAGGGGCCGGGTTATATGAAAGGGGCAGGGCTAGATGAAGAGAGGCGGGACTAGATGAAAGGAGTGG